CAGAGCGATGGGGGTGCCTTGGGGGTCGGGAGCACCAGCCTCTCCTCCCTCCTTCTTCATGAAGACCTGGCTTATTAGTTGTTGCTTTTTAATTGAGGCATAATGTTCATTCTTTTTTTTTTTTTTGACAAATGTGTGAGTTGTGTAACCACTACACCAACAAGATAGAGAGCAATCCTGTCATTGAGAAAACTTCCTTCATGCCCTGGGGTGGTCATATCTTCCCCCAAACGCTGATACCCACGGATCTCTACCTCCCTGCTTCTGCCTTTTCCTGAATGTCACACGGATGGTGTCCCACAGTAGGTAGCCTTGTGTATCTGGCTTCTCTCCTTGGCATGCTTTTGAGTTTGTCCTTGTTGTGTGCGTCTCTGTTGTCATTGCTGTTTTTCTTGCAGAACGGTAATCCTATGCACGTACCACATTTTCTTTATCTGTTCACAGTGAAAGGTTTTTTTGAATTGTTTCCAGTTGGGGATCATTATGAATAAAGCAGCTATACATTATGCACAGGTCATTGTCTGGATGTGTTTTCATTTCTCTTGGGAAAATGCCCAGAAGTGCGAGTGCTTTGTTGTGTGGGAGGTGTGTGGCTTTATTAGAAACTGCCAACCTGTTTGCCACACTGGCTGTCTCCGGCTGCATCCTGCAGGCCGTGGACAAGGGCTGAGAACATGGTTTGGATTTTTTTTTCTTTTTTTCTTTTCCTGGTGCTGGGGATTGAACCCAGGGCATGGTGCATGCGAGGCAAGCACTCTACCAGCTGAGCTATATCCCCAGCCAGTGGTTTGTATTTCTGTGTTTTGGTGGCTCTATGTGTCTTGTGAAGGCAGTGTGTAAAAGCGTTCCATGGCATGATTTTAGGTGGTACCTGGATGAGCTTTTTTTTTTCTCCCCACATTTGTAAGTTACAATTGTATTTTAAAGTGCATTTTAAAAATGTACCCAGAATGCTAAAACCATGATTTCCTGGCTATTCAAAGCTTAATAGCTAAATGACAGTCCTGGAGTTAGATTGTGGGTTTGACTTACATTTTTTACCTCCTGTGTCATTGATAAAATGGGTTGTTAATGACCCTTCCTACTTCATAAATTTGGCGTGAGGATATGTAAAACTTCCAGTTCAAGCTGGGCGCGGTGGCACATACCTGTAATTCCAGCAGTTGGGGGGGGCCGAGGCAGAAGGACCATAAGTTCAAAGCCAGCCTCAGTAATAGGTGCTAAGCAACTCAGTGAGACCCTGTCTCTAAATAAAATTCAAAATAGGCTGAGGATGTGGCACAGTGGTTGAGTGCCCCTTAGTTCAATGCCTGGTTACCCCCCCACCAAAGAAAAAACCCTCCCAGAGCTTGGCACATGACTGCCATGATTATTAAATATGTATGGCCTCTGTGTGACGGGCACATGTTTTCTGTGTGTTGTTTTGTACAACCACATGTACACGAAGACATGCATATGTCAATGTGGAATTCCTGGTCTCAGGATAAGGAAGAGGGATGAGCCCTTCTCCCTCTGGTGTGGTTTAGAGTTGGGATGGCCTTTGCGTTCTCACAAGTGTGTGTGTGCACGAGTAGGGCTTTTGGAGGCCACATGTCTGAGTGCATATTGGGCCCCCATGACAAGGGTATCCTATGTACGTACACCTTCTCCAGTTGTTCTACTGTCACTCAGCCCATGAACCCTGTGCTGTCCCTTCCCCACTCTCCAGCCACACCCAACCCTGGAATTGGCCAGGGATCTGTACCCTTGGGTCCTCCCTGTGGAAGGGAAGCCCTGAGAAATGTTCTTCCAGGTCCTGGATCTCTGGGTCCTGGGCATCTCCACCATATTTGCCTAGAGACAGTGTTTTCTGGACTTTTTTTAGGTATTTATTTTTTAGCTGTAGTTGGACACAATACCTTTATTTATTTGTTTTTATGTGGTGCTGAGGATCAAACCCAGGGCCTCACATGCGCTAGGTGAGTGCTCTACTGCTAAGCCAGAACCCCAATCCCTGTTTTCTGGACTTTTTTTTTTTAAAGAGAGAGTGAGAGATAGGGAGAGAGAGAGAGAATTTTAATATTTATTTTTTAGTTTTTGGCGGACACAACATCTTTGTTTGTATGTGGTGCTGAGGATCAAACCCAGGCCGCACGCATGCCAGGCGGGCGCGCTACTGCTTGAGCCACATCCCCAGCCCTGTTTTCTGGACTTTTACCTAGAGCCCCAGAACCCTAACAGGGATGGGTGGGAAGGAGAGGAGACATCTTGAAAGAAGCTGAGGCCCTGCTTCAGCTGAGTCTATGGGCTCTGGTTGGAGGAATGGGGAGTGAGGACCCTAAAGGAGAAGCTCCAGTAGGTAGCTGGGCTCAGTGGGCTTTGAAAACTAACTCATTGGCTGGGTAAGGTGGCGCAGGCCTGCAGCCCCTGGGACTTGGGTGGCTGAAGCAGGAGAATCTCAAGTTCAAGGCTAGCCTCAGCAACTTAACAAGGCCCTACGCAACTTAGCAAGACCTAGTCTCAAAATGAAAAATAAGAAGGCTGGGACCGGGATTGTGGGATTGTGGCTCAGCGATAGAACACTCACCTAGCATGAGCGGGGCCCTGGGTTCAATCCCCAATACCACATAAAAATAAATGAATGGAATAAAGGTATTGTGTCCAACTACAACTAAAAAAAATAAATATTAAAAAAATAAGAAGGCTGGGGATGTATCTCAGTGGCAAAGTGCCCCTGGGTTTAGTCCCTAGAACCCCTCCACCACAAAAAACCCTCAACTTGCCTCATTGAGGTATGTTTGCCATTTAATAAACCATGCACCCTTGAAGTGTATGACGAGAGGTGTTTTAACATGTTTACACCTATAAAAATCACCACCACCACCATCAGGATGACGAGCATGTACCTCCAAATGCTGCCTCCTGCTCCTTGGTGATCCCTCCCCCTCCCCCTGCTGCCCTGGGCACCCACTTTCCTGCTTTTGATTACTGCAGCTTGGTTTGTCCTTCCTGGAATTTGGTAAAAATGGGGCAGGGTGAAAGGAGAGGAAGGCTTGAGAGAGGAACAGGGGTTCTGCGGGGCTCCGTGGACGGTGCTGGGTATTTAGGCTGGCTCTGTCACCCAGCCTGATTATTTTGCAGTCATCTGTGTCGTCACCTGTGTCAGTAGTTGGTTGCTTTTGCCCACTGAGTACTAGTCCCTGTGCAGATGCTCCGAGCTCTGTTTCCATTCACGCAGCAGGGGTTTTCTCCCCTTTATAGTTTCTTTCTAGTGTGGATAGTCCCTAAACAGCATGAAGTGCTTCCTTTCACCAGCAGGTCTTATTTGAAACTGAGAGTCAAGCTGTGTCTGAGGCGGCCGGAGCCCAGTGGGCACCTTTTCCAGGCAGCTCACCCTCTGCCCTTCACCCCAACCGTCGTCTCCTTCCTGGAGTGACCCCCCTTCCCCTGCCCTCTCCAGAGTTCATTTGACTTCTCCCAGGAAGCTTCCCGGGCTGTCTGGGGCTCTCTGAGCAACTCCAGCCCTGGCAGCCTGACGGCTCTCAAAGCCCTGCGCGGTTTGGCAGTTCCAGAACGTCTTGTCTCCTCGGTGAGAGCTAGGCCAGCCTTCCTCATGCACCCCCACCTCTCAGGCCTGGCATGCAGGAAGCTGCTCCAGACAGGCCTCAAGGACTGTTCCCCGGGGCATGGCTGGTCCTGGGCTGCGGGAGCTGGTGCTTGGGGCCCTGCGAGAAGGAGGGAGCAGAGATGCCAAGAGATGAAACCAAAGCCAGGACCGAGGTCTCTGCCCGCCGCCTCCCAGCTGCCTCTTTTCCTCCCCCTCCTCTGCAGTGGCAGGGTCTGGGCAGACCTGAGGCGGCTCTTCTCCGCGTTACTAAATTCCTGTCTTGGAGGAACTAAAAATTTGCAACATCCCAGAAAACCCCAGTCACCTTTCCACCTCCTTCCTCCCTGTCCTCAGTGGTTCTCTTTCCTGAAGATGACAGAATGGACAGGTACTCCAATTCCTGAAGGACTGGTGGGGACAGCTCCTGGGGAGGAACTGAGGGCCCCCAGCCCCCAGCCCCCAGCCCATGTAGTCATGCTGCCCAGCTCCTGATTTGTGTCTTAGAGTAAGAGGCAGAGGCCACCCCCTGTGCCAGAGAGGGAAGTATCTTCTCCAGAGTCACACAGCCAGCGAGTGACAGACACAGACACCTAACACCTAGCTCTGTGCTCCTTCCTCTCCCTGCCCCAACTCATGCCAAACACAATGGTTTGTAAAGTGTCTGCTCCTCAGCCAAGCCCTGCCCCATTCTCTACCCCATTTTCTAGAACTGTCTAAACCTGGCGTGGGACAGAGGTGACCTGAGGGAGGGACGTGATGGTGGACACAGTTCTGGGGCTGATGCTGTAGAGACTCACTCTTCCTCCCTGCAGTGGTCCCTCATGGATCTCAAGCCTGCCCAGCTCCAGTGTCACCTCAATTCAACTCTCCCCCAGGAGGCCTTCCTGAGAAGTGACCTGCCTGTTGGTCCTTTTGGTGTTTGTCACTGTGTGCTGTGATAACAGAATGTCCATGTCTGTCTCCCTTTCTGGACTTGTGGCTTCAGGAGGACAGGATCCATCCGTGTTTCGTGTCTGTAGCTGCAGTGCCTAGGACAGAGCCTGGTATTCAGCAGATGCGAAGGCTATAATTCAGTGGTGGCGGTGGTGATAGTGAATGGCGGTGCTCATGGCTGGGTGGGTGGGTAGCTGGTGGGTGGCATTGAGACAAATGAGGAGGATGAGAGGGTGGATGGAAGTGGATAACAAACCAATAAAGGATGATGGGAGAAGGTGACCTGGGAGACTGTGGCACATGGCAGCAAGAGAAGACAGTGGTAAAGTGGCCATGGTGCTGGGTGGCAGTGATGGTGGAAATACTGGGTGACAGACAGGTGCTGTCTGCTTATGCCCTAGCCTTGGGCTCTTCCCTGGGGGACCTAGTCTGGTTCTCAGACCCGCTAAGTTCTCTGACACTGTGGCCTGTTCCTTTGCAGACTCCATCGGGGGCCCCTTCCCCGTCAATTCTCACAGATGCCACCACAAGCAGAAGCACTGCCCACCAGTGCTACCCAGCGGGGGGCTCCCGGCCACGCCGCTGCTCTTCCACCCACACACCAAGGGCTCCCAGATCCTCATGGACCTCAGCCACAAGGCCGTCAAGAGGCAGGCCAGCTTCTGCAACGCCATCACCTTCAGTAACCGCCCGGTGCTCATCTATGAGCAAGTCAGGCTAAAGGTGGGCCGCCCCTATGTCCCCTTGTGCCTCTGACCCTCTCCCCACAGCCAGGGTCTGCTGTTAATGCCATTAGCCCCCTGTCCCATCTCTTTACTTTCCACTGCCACCCTTCCCTCTCTTCCTTACTTTCCCCAGCCTTCCTTGGTGACAAAGAGGAAGGGGGCTGGGAGTGGCCGTGGGAACCACTGGCTCTCCCCAGTCCATGAGAAGGCTCCCTGGGGGGGGAAAGGACAGGCTGCAGGACATCCCTGGAGGTCTGCTGAGGGTGGTCTGCAGAGAAGGGTGCCCTCCCTTCCCCTGGTCTGTCTGAAGGGGGAGTGGCTGGGCTGAGGCCACCCCCTGCCACCAGATCACCAAGAAGCAGTGCTGCTGGAGCGGGGCCCTGCGACTGGGCTTCACGAGCAAGGACCCATCGCGCATCCACCCGGACTCGCTTCCCAAGTACGCCTGCCCCGACCTGGTGTCCCAGAGTGGCTTCTGGGCCAAGGCGCTGCCTGAGGAGTTTGCCAACGAGGGCAACATCATTGCCTTCTGGGTGGACAAGAAGGGCCGTGTCTTCTACCGCATCAACGACTCGGCCGCCATGCTCTTCTTCAACGGGGTCCGCACGGCTGACCCACTCTGGGCCCTGGTGGATGTCTACGGCCTGACGCGGGGCGTCCAGCTGCTAGGTGAGTGACCACTCCCTCTGGTCCCTGAGGGGCACGGCACATCCCTCAGTCTCCAGGTGCTGCGCCTTGACACTGCTCAATGCCATCAGGCAGGGGACTTCTCCTCCCCAACTTGACAGCAGCCCCAGGGCTGAGGGGCTCCAGGGCAGCTCTGGGGGCTGTTGTGTGACTGCAGAGAGCTCGCTTCCTCTCGGCCACAGCTTCGGCAGGTGGAACCCAGGTGAGACCCTTCCCCTCTGCAGCCCCTCAGGTGGTACCTCTGAGCAGTGTACAACCTTTGCCATCAGCAATAGCCTTGAGATCCCACCTGCAGAAGTCATCAGTGTTCATCGTAGTAGCCCTAGTTTATAGAGGTCTTACTGGATGCCAGACACTTCATGATTGCCTGTTCTCATCACAACCTGGGAAATATTGGGCCTATAGAGGCAGAGACTCAAGTTCAGGGAGGTTGAGTCATGAGGCCTGTGAGTGTGGAATCAATGCTCTGCCCTGAGTTTGTCCAGCTCCAAAGTGAGCTCTTAGTCCTGGGTCTGCAGCCTCCCCAGAGCCTGGGCTCCACACCATCCTAAGTGCTTTTCACAGGGAGGTTGGGTCAGAGATGGAGCAGGAAGCAGAAGGCACTGGGGGGCCAGGAATAGCCAAGACTTCCAGGTACCTCCAGGCTCCAAGTTATCCTTTTGCAGAGGGAGGACTGACATACTGTGGGGGTAGCGGGTGGCTAGGAGAAGGATCATCAGAGGTGGCCTGGAGCACTAAGGTACAGACTTCCTGCCACAGCACTCCTGTATGTGGTAGACTTTGGGTACAGATCAGCTCGTGGGCAAACTGTCTTTGTCACTGGGCAGAGCCTGCCGGAGCCCGACACAGCTTCCTCATTGGGAAATGGGTTGGTGGGAAGAGTCCCTGTGAGCGAGTGTCCAGCAGTCCTGGGTACCAAGTGTTTGCCCAGCCAGCGTTTGCTCCTGCTTCCATCTCCCATCAACACCCCTTCTCCTCGCAGGGAGAAATGCAGTGACGGTGGTTCAGGACCCCCGCCCCCTTTCTGAATTCAAAGCATAGAAACAGTGAAACTTTTCAAAAACACTTTTACTTGAGTAAGGAGAGTGAAAGTAAAAACAAAGTAAGTAACAAATAAATAAAAAGGGCTGGGGATATAACTCAGTGAGTAGTGTGTCCCTGGGTTCAAACAGCCAAAATTAAAACAACAACAAAGACATGAGTAATGGCCAGAAGCCTATTTGTGGAGTCCTGAACATCAGAAGGTTGTTTTTATTAACTCACAGTTTGGGAACTTTCTGTTTCTCAAGTCAATAAAAGTGTTTCTGCATTCACGCTGACACACTGAAAGCCTGAAACGGGCTGTTCCAGGTGTCAACTGAAGGCGGATGTCCTGACTGACCGAGGGCAGTCTGCTCCCCACTTCTGATGTGACCTGGGTGCACCTACGAGACCTCCTCTGGCAGGAGGGCTGAGAGATATGCCTGAGCTAGAGATAGACCAGGTTGGGTCCTGGTCTCACTTTGTGCCAGGGGTGGGACTCAGTTTCCTCAACTGTACAATGGGGTAATAGCAACTGACCCTGGGGTTCTTTTGAAGAGTGGACTGATGAGGAACAGCTGACACACAGTAGGTGTCAGATATTCTCACCCACCCTGGGGAAGGCAGTGCTTAACCCAGGGTTAATTGAGCATCTTCTTTGTGTTCTGGTGTCCTCAAGACAGCACACATCAAGACCGTGGGGTCCCAAAGCTTGATTCTTAAGCTCCGGCCTGGCCACTCCTGTCTGAGGCTCGGGCTCCTCTGTAAAGCGGTTGTGAATTCTGTGACTCAGCCCTGAGTTCTGCCACATTGTGGAAGATGGAGAATGTTTCTGCTCTTGAGAGTCACAGTCTTGTTGGCGGGGAAGGTGTAGGATGTAGTGGCAACGTTCTTGCTTTTCCCTGAGCAAAGAATGCTCTTCCTCACAGTCCCCACTCTGGCTTGAAGGCCCAGCCCAAGAGCTGCTCCTCTCTGAAGCCTTCCCCAGGAATGCTCTTCTCCATCCTGTGTCCTACCACACGGGGGCTGCGCTTTTTGCAGTACTGAGGCCTCTGCTGAACCAAGGTCCAACTACGTGTCTCTTCCCCCACAATAGAGAGGGCACTGAGGGAGGCACCCATGTCTTACCCAGCCAGGCTTCCCTCCAGAGTGGACCCTCAGCTGGGCCTGCAAGGATGCTGAGTAATGTTTGCAGGAAGGGGAGAGTGGGGAGATGGATGGATGGGAGAATGAGGGACTGGCTAGCTAAGGAACAGAGTGGGTGGATGGGGGCAGAGACAGAGCAGCCTGGTCCTCAGACAGCCCTGGGCTTGCTTGTCAGTTCGGGAGACAGACACTGCAGACACAACCAAGGCATGACCAAGGGGGTAGTAGATCGTTAAGCGCTATGGACCTAGATCCCTTCCATCTACAGTAATGCTTTCCATCCGGGCAGCTCCTTTAACCTCTCAGCAGCAGACCCAGGAGGGAGTCTTTTTTCTCCCCATTTGGTAGGCAGAAAACTGAGGCCCATGAGGACCTGGCTTGCCCATGTAGGGATGTGGAAGGGCCGGTCCTCCAGGAGGTTTTAACATAAAAGGAGGCAGGAAGTCAGAGGAGGCTGAGGCCAGAGGAGGCTGAGGTCTGTGAGGGATGGTGTAGTCCAGGAGGCTTCCCAGGAGAGAAGATTTGGACTGGGCCTGCCTGTTCCAGGAGGCTCTGGACAGGTGGGAATGAAGGGGAACATCCCAGGTGACATGTTCCGACCTCCAAGGGCTGAGGGGGGCCTGGGGAATAATCTGCAGGGCCCTGCCTTGGGGACACAGCCCAGGCAGAGGAACCTGGCCTGGCCCCACTCCCCTTCTTTGACTATCAGTGGTGGGTGGGGGTATCGCGGTTACCTCTGCGTCTCCTGGCAGGCAGGCTGCTCTGCACCCAGATAACCCCAGCTGATTCCCATCCTGGCCATAAATCACCATAATCCCTGGGCATTTTCAAACTCTGATTATGGCCCCTAAATTCAATTAGCAGATTAAAATATCTCTTCATTTGTTCCTCCTAAATTGATTGTTTGTGTGTATGTAAAAAAGGCAGAGAGCAGGGCCTGGAGCTGGAACGCAGTGGTAGAGCACTCGCCTGGCACGTGTGAGGCACTGGGTTCCATCCTCAGCGCCACATAAAAATAAGTAAATAAAGATATTGTGTCCATCTGCAGCTAAAAAAGATGGGGGGAAATAAAAGGAAGCGGACGGGGCGGAGGGGCAGCGAGCCGTCCAGGAGAGCTGAGGTGGCCGCAGCAGGCTCTCTTCCTTCCCTCCGTGTCCCCACTCAGACATGCCAGTGGCCCTGTGGAGACTCAGAGTCAATTTTCTTCCCTCTCTTGTCCCCTCCCTATTGCCGACCCTGTCACTACATCTGTGTCTTTCAGGGTCCCTCTCTCTCTCCTTCAACTCTGATTCCATGAGCTCTTCTTGCTTTTCCTGGGCTCCCTTCTTAGCAGCTGTCTCTTTTTTGAAGAAAGTTGTGCCCTATCTCGGTGGCTTTGAGGTCAGGCCAGCCTTTCCTGGGGTGATGATCCCCCCAACCAGTGTCTGATCTTTAGGGATGTCCTGCCCCTGCACCTGTCCCCTCCTGCCCTTTACACCTCACCTGGCCTGTGTCTTATCCTCGGTTCGGAGGTGTCCTGGGTGCCTGGCACATACTCCACATGGGTAGGTTTGCACACAGTAGGTTTGCAAGCTGGGTTGTGGATGGGTGGGATGTCCAGGAGCAGAGTGGAGGCAGAGGCTGGTGTCACACCCTTCCCTGCCTTGATGGTGCCCAGGCCCCTGCTGGTGCCCATGCCATGGCCCAGCAGGCCAGCTTCAGGTGTCCCAGGCCGCCAGCCATCATGCTGGGCTCAGCAGATGGTCCTCTTTTCTCCAGGCTCCCTGGTCCAGGCTGGTATCTCCAAGAATAACAGCTTCCTACCTCCAGGAAGAGGGACCTGCCAGCAACTAAACAAACACAAGTTTTATGGGGTGATTAATACTAGGGCAGATAAACTCCTATCCCAGCTTCCCGAGGGCTCCTTGCTCCTCTCCAAAATGTTAACTGTGGAAGAGCAGCTGTGGTCCTGGCAAAGGGCTGGTGAGCTCGGATCCACCCATGGGTGCTCTGAGCATCCCCCATGCCCACTACAGCTTGAGCACTATGCAGCAGTCGGGGGAGACAAGAACTGAAAACCTGGACCCTCCTTGAAGAGTTCTTACACTGGGGGACATACGGTGTAATTGCAGTGAGGTGGCCTAAATCCAGTTTTTCAATTCAATGTGACCTGAAGAGCAAAACTGTAGGGGTGCAGCTGGGGAGCAACCCAGAAGGACTTCCTGTAGGCGATGAGCTTCAAGTCAGGATCCCAAGGAGTGGAAAAGAATGGGTTGGCTGGGGAGGAACAGCTAAGGTGATTCCGGAGGGTGTGCGCAGGCACGGAGGTGGGAAGGAGCCGCAGGAGGGGAGCGGATGCTTGCGGGGAGGCTGAAGTAGAAAGGTAGGGGCAACTCGTGGGTAAGGGTGTGCATGGGGAGATTGGAATGTTCCCACAGCTTCTGCGCTGTCAAGTTATTCCATAGGAGGAACTGCGGTTGACAGTAGAGGAGGACGGGCCCAGATGTGGGGAAATTCTCCCCGCTGGACAGACGCCAGGACAGGCCTGGAATTCAGATCTCCCAGGATGATCTGGACATAAGGTCACGTGAGGGGAGCTGTTGGCACATCCAAATGGTGGAGCCCAGGAGGGTGTTAGGTGGGGGCTGCCAGGGCTTGTGGCATTCCGCTTCATTCCCAGGTCTTGGTGAGGGACCCCCACCTGCCACTGAGGAGGGCGATGTAGGGAGACTCTTGATGTATGGAGATTGCTACAGGGCTGCTTCTGGGGGGTAGGGAGCAAGCCAGCCTTGCTGTCCTGCAACAAGACCCCCCTGCCCCAACCCTGGAGATAAAAC